GAGAACACCGAAGAGAATGAGGTATAACCTGGAGCAAGTTATAATTGATGGATTTTTATGTGAACTTTCAGGGTTCTTCTTGCAACATTTCTCGTGTTTGTATGCTTTAGGTTGGGGTGTCAATGTGCGTTAAGAGATTTAGAGAGATTTCATGAATCTATGCTTATCTGAGAGAGATCGATCTATAAAATTATGCATGACTTGTCAGATTGTTAATATGCTCTCTCTCTCTCTCTCTCTCTCTCTCTCTCTCTCTCTCTCTCTCTCTCTCCATCTCCATCCCATTACACCACTTTTCACCAAAACAGTTAAGTACCATTTGCACCAATTTTTTGTTAAGAATATTTGTGTCCATTTTTGTTACAAAACAAATTTTATTAATGAATTCAATATTTTCTTTAATTAAATGTAATAAAATATTTAGTAATTTATTTAGTAATAAAATAACAAATAAATAATTTTTGAGATAAATAAATTGTTAAGAATGGAAAAAAAAATGAAGAAAATGGTGAAACATTGTTTATTTGTTGCAATTTTTGATGTATTGGGTTGGGGGTGATTTTCAATTTGGTGCAAAACTTACCTCAAATTTTGGTGTAGGGTTGGAGATGGCCTAAAATCTCAAATGAATCTTACTCTTCGAGCATCCTTTAACTGACTTATCTTGGACCTTACACTATGCTTTAATCTCTTTTAGTAGTTCCTTGTAGTTAGTGCTATGAACAAAGATTATTCCTCATTCAGATACAGTAAGTCTTGATTGATGTATGAAGTCACTGGATGTTGGAGCTTTTAAAAATGTTCATTTAGGGTGATTACTATCATTTTACTCGATGCGCTAAGTTCGAATTAAAGTTATTGATATAAGATCTGCTACAAGCACTTCTACGTGATTACTATCATTTTACTCGATGCGCTAAGTTCGAATTAAAGTTATTGATATAAGATCTGCTACAAGCACTTCTACGTGATTACTACCATTTTACTCGATGCGCTAAGTTCGAATTAAAGTTATTGATATAAGATCTGCTACAAGCACTTCTACGTGATTACTACCATTTTACTCGATGCGCTAAGTTCGAATTAAAGTTATTGATATAAGATCTGCTACAAGCACTTCTACGTGACATTTCCCTTGTAGGTGAGGAACCTTGGCAAGCCAGTTGAGCTTGCTGGACAATATTACCTTGACGGGGCTGATGAGGTATGCCTTAGCCTCGATAGATTAGCAGCATTTCTGGTTAAAAATAGGCTTCATTACTTAATCCCTCACAGAGCACATTGAAATGCCGTCTAATACAGAAAATCAAATTAATTACTCATTTCGTTTCAGGTTAGTTTTTTGAATATTACCGGCTTCCGAGACTTCCCTCTTGGAGATTTGCCTATGTTGCAGGTTTGTTATTTCAATAAATGTATTCTCGTGTGTTACTCGGTACTTTCCATTTATTGCCATTCAGATTCATAATCCCAGATAAGATAAAGCATATCTTTTTCGGCATCCTATGCTTTGTTCTAGTTTACATTTTCTCTTTGTTCCATTTCTTGCTTTAGCACTTGTAGAAAAATATGGTAATGTAATCAAATTATTATAATTTTGGGAATAACCATTATTGGTTGGTTTCACATGAATTTTTAACTATCGACATGGCACCAGTCATTAGAACTTCTGCTTGTAAAAAAGCATTAAAACCAGCCTCTTTGTGTCCCCTTGTAGGTATTGAGGTATACATCTGAGAATGTTTTTGTACCATTGACTGTTGGAGGAGGTATTCGAGATTTTACTGATGGGACTGGCAGGTATAGAGCTGTCCATTATTCTTGATCTAGATTTTCATCTTGTCTAAAATGGTTGTATTTCTTTAGCTTTCTTTCCATTGTGAGTGAAGAAAACTTGAATTCATAGATAAAATAAATTGTCACTCTTTGACAATAAAAAAAAATTATTTTGTAGATTTGCATAACTTTTCTCAGGTACTACTCTAGTTTGGAAGTTGCTTCAGAATATTTCAGATCTGGTGCAGATAAGGTTTCCATTGGAAGTGATGCAGTTTATGCAGCAGAAGAATACTTGAAAACCGGAGTATTTATCCTCCTCTTTGTTCTTCATATATATATATATATATATATAAAATCTATTTTGAGTTAATTGTTCCTTATTTCCCTTTTAAGGTAAAAACTGGGAAGAGCAGCCTGGAGCAGATCTCCAGAGTTTATGGAAATCAGGTAGAGTTCATTTGTTAATTCTAATTTTTTACTTTTCTCGTTCCTGATACGAAAAACAACATACACCAACTTGCTTTTACAATGCCCTTTCCAAAATGTCATTGCCAATTTTAATGAATTCCTTTTCTTTAATATTAGGCGGTTGTTGTAAGCATTGATCCTCGTAGGGTGTACTTGAAGGACCCCAATAATGTAAAATTCAAGGCTATAAGAGTAAGAAATCCAGGTGAGCAATAGTGACGAGTCCTAACTATATTGTTGCTTTGGAGTCCTTTGGTTTGCAAATTCAATATATAGCTGTACATGGGGCTCTTGTGTGGAGCTGGCCATCAGTGATTGTTCACTGTTCATAGCCTACTAATCTTCCAATTGTTATTTACCACTGTACATGTTGAAAAACTCTGCTCTACAATCAGATACTTACAAAATAAAAGAGTTGTGTTGCAAATGGAGAAAGCTGATAAAACAAAGTAAAAGAGTAGAAACAGTATGTAATTTGCTTCTTGTGTTCATTTCAGGTCCAAATGGAGAAGAATACGTGTGGTACCAATGCACAGTATGTATTTCTTGCTTTCACATTTGTCTTGCATGCACAGCAAGGTTAATCCAAATTTTGATTGCTTTCTTAGTTGTCTCATGCCAGTCTAACTGAACGTCCAGCATGAATAACAACGCTTTCATTTAAAACTAGCGAGAGAAAGAATTGGGGGAAAGAAAAAAAAAGACTTTTAAGACTTGAGAGGACAAGAATGAAGGTTGTAAATGATTAAGACTATATTTATATGTTCTGTTCTGGTAGTCATAGCATATGAGATACTTGGACAGTTGATAAGATCTGAGTAATATTTGATGGAAGTTTAGCCCTGCAGAGTGTCATGGATTGACAAGTGCAAATTATTTTGACTGGTTCTAGTCTGCAACATATGTAGTCATTCAACAGTATTTTTTTATCAAGATTGCTGTGTGTAGATGCTATTTTATTATCCTAGTAAGATGGGACTCCTTTGTTGAATGTCATTGGGATTTAAATGCTCCCATATATGCTCCTTTCTGATGGTTTCTGGTCTCCAAAACTATCTGATCTGTGAAAATTTGAGATCTCTTTTTTAGTATTTATTTGTATGCGATAGCAATATTCTGATGGTTTCTGGTCTCTAAAACTTCAAAACTATCTGATATGTGAAATTTTGGTATCTCTTTTGTTGGTATTTATTTGTATGCTATAGTTTGCATATTGCTATCTTGAGGTCATTTTTGCTCAATAAACTTGACTATTCTTAAGGTGAATGGCGGGCGAGAAGGTAGACCAATTGGAGCATATGAGCTTGCCAAAGCTGTTGAAGAATTGGGAGCTGGAGAAATACTCCTAAACTGCATTGACAGTGATGGTGAGGCCTGATGTGATAGCTGATTCTCAGACTTCTTCCTCTCTCTCTCTCTCTCTCTCTCTCTTTCTCTCTATTTGTGATGAACTTATATATGTTGGGGTTATAGATGACTCTCAACCTATTTTTTGTTCGAGCTGTTTCCTGAAAAATAACTAGCATGAATCGTTTCTTATGGTTGTAGTTCTGAAGTTATTTTAGTGGGTGTTGTGGACGTCTGTCCAATTCATGCTAAGGGACACATGCCATTCGGTTATGAACTCAGCAATTGGTAATAAGTCTTGTGATGGTATAATTGATTCTTTCAGGTCAAGGAAAGGGGTTCGATATAGATCTAATAAAGCTGATCTCAGATGCTGTGAGCATTCCTGTAATTGCAAGTAGTGGTGCTGGAGCTGTCGAACACTTCTCAGATGTTTTCTTGGAAACAAATGCATCTGCTGCCCTTGCTGCCGGCATTTTCCACCGGAATGAGGTATTGTTAACAAAAAACCAGAACTGTCTTTTTTTTCTTTTTTTCTTTTTTTGGTTTATAAGCTTATGTCCTTTTGTCTTTAGCTTCGGTATTCAATTGAAAAAAAAATTCAGTTTCATCTACTCGGGTACCTTATGAGAGATGTTTCACTCGTCGTGCATGATCATCTATGGACTTAGAATATGCTTGGATGTGCTTAATAGTTAATTTTTTACAGAGCAAGTCAAGATTTACTTGCTAGAAAAGTGAGTTTTTGTCTGTGAAATAAAGTAGTTTAAAAATCATGTCTGTCAAGATAAGTAACTTGGCTTAGTTTTAATGCACAGCCAAACATTCTATCAGTTACTTCCATGACGTGATACCGTCACTGATCTAAAGTACGAGCTAACCTGTATCTGGAGATGTTCGATATTGGAAAAGTAATTATAAACATGCATGTGCTTGTCTTTATATTGATGCATTATTATTGCCTCATTATCGTTTCTTGGGTTGCAGGTGCCTGTTCAATCTGTGAAAGAGCACTTGTCAAAGGAAGGCATTGAAGTTAGAATGTAATTGGGTTTTCCCCTTTCAAAGATCCATCTCCGTGTTTTATTAGTCCACTGTCGTTTTGAAATTTACCCCAGGGAATGTTTACTTTTATAGTCCATCAGAGCATCTATGAGTTGTGCCTCTCCAGTCTAGCCATTGGTGGTTTTTAACTATTATACATTGTCGTATACTTTTTGGCATTGCTGTTAGTGGATTTATAAACGTGTTTGTTTTGTTGGACTTGAATCGTTTCATCTTCAAAATTTGGTTCTCTTTTCTGCATGTATTGTCTTTGAAGTGTGCATCTACTTGAGAACCAGTGGACCCTTTGAACATTAGAGAAGGATCTCATTTCAATGAGAGAGAAAAATAACAGTACAATAGATCAGTGCAGAAACATCAAATTATTCAAATATTTTGTCTCATTCTGACAAGAATGTAGGTAACCTTCAGTTCAAATCAAGCACATGGGCAGGAAACAATACACAAAAAACTCTCAAAATATAATGAGTTGAGCAAGATATATTGTCGAAGGATCTCATATCAAGCCTAGAGGCAGCTAGCCGCAAACTGAAAATGAATTGGTTGCAAGGAAAAAAGTATCACAAAACTTTAAATATGATGCATTTTACTCCGACTCAGCGAAGCTTGAGGGTATTTAACTCAAATATATTAGCAAATATGAAGCTGCAACAATGGTTGATGAAGCTTTCATATATCCAAGAGGAGCCTGCGAGGATCTTCCACCACGTCTTTGATCCTTCTCAAAAAAAAGACGGCCTCTCTTCCATCAATCAGCCTATGGTCATATGTCAATGCAATGTACATCATCGGTCTTGGAACTATGTTACCTCCAACAACCATTGGACGGTTCACTATTGAGTGCATCCCCAGGATTGCAGACTACAATATAAAGGAGTAAACGACAAATATTAATAATCACAGGGATGAGCTGAACAGAAAAACCGACCAATGCAAAACCAGGAGGATCAAACCTGAGGGGGATTTATGATGGGAGTGCTCAAAAGACTTCCATAGACACCACCATTGGATATAGTAAATGTACCTCCAGCCATCTCATCAATTGATATAGTGCCATCAGTAGCCTTCTTTGCGAGGGTGTTAATCTCTTTCTCAACTTCTGCAAAATTCATTCTACCAGCATCCCGGAGAACTGGAACCACAAGGCCCTATTAAAAACGAAAGCTTATTTAGAATTAAGAGGCAAAGAAAATTATCCTATTCCATACCATGGGGCTATAAAAGATTTGTTAATCGTAAACGACTAAGAAGACTTCGTTCTTCCACAATGCTATTTATAGATAATAATTGGTTCTCCTCTTCGAAGGTCTGGTACTTGCTTATACAAAGTTACATACGATCTCTGTTTAAAGAATCATCAGCCATTTTCCATCATCGAGTGGACAACTTGAACCAAAATACAGAATGCGTCAAACTTGATAATCTTTACCATTAGGTCCACATTAAAGCAGATTCTAGTAAATCAAAGAGCATAAATAAAAATAATGGTGACTTGCCTTCGGGGTACCAACAGCTATGCTGATATCTACGTAGTCTCTGTAAATAATATCGTCACTGTCAATAACAGCGTTAACTATAGGCTGATTCTGGAGTGCACTAACAGCTGCCTGAAATTTAGCGAGATGAAGTAAGCCACTAGACTCAAGCTTATAAAAAAAGGGAAAACCAAATCAGGATATCTACATACTTTCACAAATCCAGACATAAGACCCAGCTTCACCCCATGTTTTTCAACAAATGCATCCTTATAGTCAGAACGAAGTTTCATTAAATTAGTCCTGTAACGAGTCACAAATGTACAAACTATCAGAATTCTACAATCGAAGGAGAAAATGAGGACAAAAAATGTCATACTTTTTCAACTGAACCTTGAACAACTAATTTTTTACATTCATGAGAGGAAGAACATTGGTTGGGAACTTGAATCAACAATTTCTAGTATCTCCATAGTTTGCCAAGCTCTTCAAAAATTTCATGGAACGGAAATATAAACTATATTCCAATCAGTAACATGGGGAAATCGGTGTAATTTAAAATCATTTTCACACAAATTTACCAATGAACCATCACAAAATCTTAAATAGATTGCATTGTAAAACAGCATTAATCTCCTCTAGTTACTAGGCTTGAAACTAAAATAAAATAAAAATAAAAATTTAGGACCTCCAGCACCAAGAAAAAAACCAATATCTATCCGTTAATAGCTTGACTACAAGTCTCCAGATAAAAAAGAATGCACCAATTAAGACAAGCACAGTGAAATCTGTAATGCCACAACGATACCTTCTAAATCAGATGAACTTGGTATAGATAAGCTGTTCTACTCATTAAACCAAAACACAGAGAAAGAGAGAGAGGTTTACATATCAACTTCATTAAATGTTGTCAACAACGCAAATGTATTTTGCGAATCTTTCAATCGGGTGGCAACTCGTTTTCTGAGCCTTGTCATAGGCACCTGCCATATTGACAGATTTTTTAGTTTTTGAAGCAAGATTAATTAATTGCTCAAATATAACGTACTAATGAGAAAAAATTTCTAAGCATCAATAAGCAATATGACAAAAACAATACAACACTCACTCTTCTTTCCCGGTCTTTTGGGGGCAGCTGGGGTTCTGTTGCAGAGAGTTTAGGAGGTGAAGAAGTTTCTTTAGGCTTTTCTATGACAGAAGTGGTTTCCACTTTCGGCTTCGGCTTCTCCTTCTTCTCCACAGAAGGAGGAGGTGGTGGAGGAGCAGCCTTTTCAGATGACTTCTCATCAGATGGAGCAACATGAGTTACACCTTCAGCAGATTTTGATATGACAGCAATTTTAGTGCCAGGTTCCACGGTGTCTCCCTCCTTAGCTACAAACTAATAATGCTCCAAATAACACCATTTTAAAATACTGAAAGAATAAGGAAGTCGCGAAAAAGTAAGCAATATTTATTAAATATTATTGATTATATCCTACCTCCTGGATTACACCTGCTTCAGGACTATTGACATCAATGGTGACCTGATGGATGATAAACAACCCAAGTGACGACAGTTATCCCGTTAGAAATTTGTGGAAGCTTCAATATTCATAATTACAGGATTTCTATTGTATATATCATAAAAAATGCAAGTGGGTCTAGAATTTGTTCCTATCCCACCCACGCATCAGTACCTCAGATCAATAATATGCGTATACATGTAGCAATTTTGAGACCTCTCGTTCAAAAAAGGTGGATAGAATATATACTCGTGGTTATCTACAATTAAGAATCGGTACCTTGTCAGTTTCAACCTGAGCAATTGGCTCATCAACTTCTACCCTGTCACCTGGTTCTGCTTGCACCCAGAACCAAAAGAAAGGCATAAGCTTAGAAAATGATAAATTATGTGAAAAGGGATTAAGATTAGATATAAATAGAGAAATGCGTACTCTTCAAGAATGTTGCAAGTGTGCCGTCAGTTATAGATTCACCCATGTGAGGGACGACAGCATGAACAAGATCACCTTCTACACACACATACAAGAAGGAAAGGTTCACAGTAGACTAAGTATTATAAAAAAGAAAGTGAGAATTGAATGCCTCTGAAAAATAGTTAGAAGCTCTAAAGTGCTTTATTTTAGTTGCTAATACTATGGTTCTGTTTGAGCCATTTTTTGAAGAATAGATTTTGTGATTGTGATTATTTTAGAGAATGTGTGATTAAAAAGTAGAAAAAAGTTTTGGTTTTACATGCAAAATTATTTTATTTGGAGAATGTGTGATTGGAAATGAGTTTGGAGAAAAAAGAGTTTTTGGGCTCAAACCGCCTCGGGTGGGGGGGGGGGGGGTTTTAAT